AGCTGAACCAGCTCTGGCAACATGTCTTTGATAAAGGGCACGGCCAGAGCAGTGCTGTGTCCAAAGTAGGCCTGGAACTTACCGTGTAGCATCGTATGGAGCAAGATCTCTGAATTCGGTTTCTCCGCAGTGCCCTCCCCAAGGATGGGGTAAGCATGGCTGACATGGGCCAACCCCTTGCCATCAAGATCGCGTTTTGTAAACGGACAGCACGGACTCGAACAGAGGGTACCTTGGCAACAACGAGCCGGGGACCTTCGTCATGGTCAAGATGGTCTTGGCGGTCTCCGGGGCTGCCCTGCCGCTCGCCTTCGCAGGGCACCCGCGCAGAAGCATGATATGACAGGTCTCCGCCACGAGGCGTAGATCTCCAGGGTCTGGAACCGCACTCTGAAATACATGCACAGCCCTACCCATCTCCTGCATGGTCACACTCTGATGTTCGCGCCCCCAGATCTCCTCGTTGCGGTCGAAGTAGTACAGGGCCGAGTCGTGGTAGCACGGAGCGCCTACGTCAGCAATTGCAATCGACAAGCGCTGGCACATATTCATGTTGTACATATGCATGTTTGTCTCCTTGTGCGCCCAGCTCATGTAGCCAGTCCTGAACATCTCTTCGAGCATCGGGGGGTTGCTGTTCTGAGAATTCACGCGAAGAACTTCCTGAAACCCCGGTAGCTCATGCGCCCTGCTAAGGAGGGAATGGTCCAGCAAGTCCGCATTATTCTCTTCTTCCTCTTTTTATTGGTACACCTTCAATACTCGCTCGTTGTCATCACTCCGTTTGGTGAACTTCATCGGGATTTTCATTGCCGCCTCCTGCATATTGCCAAGCCTCTCTGCGTTGTCCTCCACGTCGCGCAAAAGCAAGAGCCAGGCCAAGTAGAAAATGTCCAGGTTATCGCGCTCTGCAACTTCGTCACTATCTCGGGCGCTATCGCCTTGAGGAAGCTCACCTCGACAATGTGGCTACGCGTCGGAATCGCGTAGCATTCTTTCTCATTGCAGTAGTGTTCGTACGCCTTGATCACGGCACCCTGCAATGGCCAAACTGCCAGCATCGCCATCGCACCCAGGTTCAAGATTTGGCGGATTCACAACATTCGGAGGGGAAGAGCAGGAAGAGGAGGAGGACGACAGGATGGAGGGATGAGGAGGATGTGGCGATAGAAAGAGGAGAGTTGGCGGAGGAGAGGTGGGGGGGAGAGGAACACTTTTTTGCCCTTACCTGTTTGTTTCCACCTCCTCCTCTCCCTCGTCCTCCACCTTCTTCTCTTCCTCCTCGTCCTCCACCTCCTCCTCCTCCTCTCCTCCTCCTCCTCCTCCTCCTCCTCCTCCTCATCCTCCTCCGCCTGCTCCCCCTCCTCCGCCATAGTTTTCCATATATATATATATATAGGGGGGGGTATCCACCGCGGCGACCCAGATCGGCAGCTTCATCGTGAAATCCGAATCTTACTGCCTGATGCGGTTGACAGCTCAAGACTGGACCCTCTTGAATTTATGTATGGCCAGAACGGTGAGATCCATCGCCCACTGGTGGCTCCACGCGTACGTGCCCAGGGCTGCTCTCATCCTGCGCATCGGCGGCGACCCTGCCGTTGGATGCCATGGCAGCAGCAGCGCCAGTACAAGCAACAAGCAACATTCGCGCACAGCGAGAACATCCAGCAACAGCTCGAGCGCCAAAAGGCAACGGAGGAGGAGGAGGAGGAGGGAGAGGAGGAGGAGGAGGAGGAGGAGGAGGAGGAGGAGGAGGAGGAGGAGGAGGAGGAGGAGGAGGAGGAGGAGGAGGAGGAGGAGAGGAGGAGGAGGAGGCGGAGGAGGCGGAGGAGGAGGAGGAGGAGGAGGAGGAGGAGGAGGAGGAGGAGGAGGAGAGGAGCAGGAGGAGCAGGAGAGGAGGAGCAGGAGGAGCAGGAGGAGCAGGAGGAGGAGGAGGAGGAGGAGGAGGAGGAGGAGGAGGAGGAGGAGGAGAGGAGGAGGAGGAGGAGGAGGAGGAGGAGGAGGAGGAGGAGGAGGAGGAGGAGGAGGAGGAGGAGGAGGAGGCGGAGGCGGAGGCGGAGGCGGAGGCGGAGGCGGAGGCGGAGGCGGAGGCGGAGGCGGAGGCGGAGGCGGAGGAGGAGGAGGAGGAGGAGGAGGAGGAGGAGGAGAGGAGGAGGAGGAGGAGGGGGAAGAGGAGGAGGAGAGGACGAGACGAGGAGGAGGGAGGAGGAGGACGAGAAGGAGGAAGAGGAGGCGGCGAAGGGGGAGGGGGAGGGGGAGGGGGAGGGGGAGGGGGAGGAAGATGAGGAGGAGGAGGAGGAGGACGAGGACGAGGACGAGGACGAGGAGGAGGAGGAAGGAGGGAGGAGGGAAGCAGAACTCACCCCAAGCCGCGGGGAGCCGTTCTGCAATTTGTGAACGCGAACACCAGGCGTTCACGCATAGCCCCAACTAGAGAGTTTGAACTGTTCCACTTGCCCCCCCTCCGAGAAACTGACAGTCCACTGAGCAGACTGTTTCTACTGTCGCTGTGCTGCTATTGGTATCGCTATTGTTATTGCTACTGCTACTGCTGCCGCTGCTACTGCTACTGTTACTGCTACTGCTACTGCTACTGCTACTGCTACTGCTACTGCTACTGCTACTGCTGCCACTGCTACTGCTGCCACTGCTACTGCTACTGCTACCACTGCTACTGCTACTAGGGAACAGGATGAGGGGGAGGAGCTGGAAAAAGCGGCGGAGTCTGAAGCGCGCGTGGAGTTTGAACAGAGCAATCCTCACATGATTCTCGGCTTATCCTCACCCGCGTTAATCCTCGTCCTGGCTTCGTCGTAGAGCTCGATCGATCGATCCTCCAGGGTCGGGGCGGCCGCCGGAGGGGACAGCGCGGCGGCGCGCCAGGCCTCCCCGGCCGCCGCAGGCGCGGCAAGCTGCCCGGCAGCCTCCTCCTCCGCGCCGGCGGCAGGAGCGCGCTCTGCTGGCCGCCGGAGGGGGGCGGCCCTCGACCAGCCCAGATCCCTTCGCGTTGTGAGAAGATCACTCTGGGCCTCCGAGATGGGGTCCGAGCAGATGGGGTCGGAGGACCGTGCCGTATCGTCGATGCATCGGCGATGCGGCTCGATGAGGAGCCCGATCTCCTCCACGCCGACGTCACCGATACATCGCCGATGCATGGGCGATACATGGGCGATGCGGTGCAATCCTCCGACCCCATCTACTCGGACCCCATCTGGGAGGCCTACGTGCTTCGCTATTTTCGGCCTCCGGAGGCACTTACCGGGCCTCGTGGCCGTTCAAAAACGACTCGGGATGAAGAACCGGTCCCGGGGAAGGGGCCGAGACCTCTGGGGGTCGACGCTACGAAAAGGCGAAAAGGTCGCGACGTCAGGGGTCTGGGGGTGAGGCTTACGAAGCCGGTTCGAGTGAAGCTCGGTCGAGGTGCCATCAGAGGAGTGGCGCATGCATCCGTGCACAGTCGACCCGCAAAGTAAGGATAGGCATCCCTCCCAAGGGTACCCTTGCATCCTTGCCTCCTGGATCCATCCTGGGACACGTTCGTTGGCCGCGCCCCGCTCGAAACGCTTCGACAGGGCGTCCAGGGCCTTATCCGTTACTATCCGGGTTGACTGTACTGCCCCATGCCCTTTCTCAGCCGCGCGCAGAGGGGGGTGGGGGGAGAGGGGAGGGCTTCTTAGAAGCACCCCTGCTTCTTAGAAGGCGCGGGCCTTATCTTTAGATGTGAGGCAGGCGCCTTCTAAGAAGCAGCCTCCTTCTAAGAGGCCCTCCCCCCTCCCCCCACCCCCTTGTGCGCGCCGCCAGCTTTCTCTTCATGGGTTGGCCCCGCAGACGGGCACGCTCCGAGCCGCTCCGGAGCGGAACCGCCGTGAGTCGGCGGAGATCCCGCGCAGCGAAAGAGCAGCACGGTGCTTTCGGGGCTCGAAGGATCGAGTTTCGACCTCGAGGATCGAGGTTTTTTCTGCCTCTGGGGGTGCCCCCTCGTCGCAACGGCTGGGATCGATTCGAGGTTCTGGCCAGGGGTCACCCCTGGACTGGTGCACGAGGCAGCTCTCGACCCGCAGAGCCCCAGACATCTCCGGCGTCTCCAGGAGGAACAGAGTGCCGATACGTTTCTGGGCGAGAGGCCGGCACCCTCGACTCAGGACTCGGGGGTGGAGCGACCTCCTACCCTGGCACGTCGATTAAGGAATTGGCCGTTTTCGGTTCGCGACAGGGCGTCGCGGCCGTCGTTTTTGCGGGTCCAGGTCCGTCGGTTTCGGTCCTGGGCCGGTTTCACTGAAGGGTGGTTCACTACAGGGAGATTTTTCCGCTGCCGAAACGGAACAAGTCCCGAGCAGAGCAACACGCACCACGACCACGACGACGCCGCCGCCGCCGACGACGACGACGACGGAGACGAGAGCGCGCAGACGATCCGCACCGAATCACGGATTTGGGAAAGGGCCCACCCTGCAGGTTCGGTTAAACAGCACATCGTTGAGTTGTATTGTAGTTTCCCCGAGGGGGGGAGCAGGATCGGGTTTTGCTAGAGGTGACCCTGGCCCAAGGCGCCCCCAGTTTTCCGCTCAATTCTGGAGCCTCTGGGGCTCTCTGGTCTTAGGGCAATTTCTTGGAGGACAAGAAGGTATTATCTGGAGCTGTTCTCCGGGGCCCCATCGAACGATTACTAACATGTGGATGGGGCTTTTTGGAGGGCCAGAGCCAAGGGAAAATATTGGATTCCTTGGTAGCCATTATCAGCAACCAGTACCAAGTTCTCCGCCCCGCTGCCACTCGTACCTCCGCCCTGCCAGCAGGCTGCCCTCAGCGAGGTGTCGCCGCAGGTAGTTGGGCAGCTACGTTTGCTGTGCAGCAGTGCTGTCTCCCGCCAGTCGATAGATGGGGGTCGTCAACAATCCCTGCGTGCAGCCGACGATTATCATTGATGTTGTTTGTTGTTCAGCCACAACAGGAGCCATAATTACCTTGCCAGAAACCTTGTCAATGCTTCAGCTAGCATGCACCAAGCGTTCGCCCATGACCCTAAGTGTGAAACCGTCAAGCACAAGGCTCCTGCTGCGGCCTCATCGCTGGCAACCCAGGCCGATCTCGCCTCGCGCCTCGGGCAGCGGGCTGGACCAGCAGCTGCGGGCGGCAGCCGCGGACTTTCAGCAGCCACCCGAGGTGTGGATTTCACAGCAGGAGCCAGACTAAGGATCAGGGCCAGGAGGGCATTCAACTTTGGGGCCATTGAGCTCAAGTCTCGGCGGCTACGCAGGCTTCGTGCTCCTAGGGTGGCAGGTGCTGATACTAGGAAGCTTTGGATCAGGGCATCAACATGCTGAATATCTTGGATCGGAAGTCTTGGGATTATCTAATACCGAGCTCCAGGAGCCCGCGATCTGTGCCTGAAGCTTGCTCGGCCCAAGTGAGCTACCCGCTCGCGCAGCATGTCCTTGGCTCTCCTGGAGGACCCCACTTGGCGCTCAGCTCTGGGGCCTTGTATATCTTTGATCTTGGTTGTTTGGAGAGCCTCCCAGGGCCCCATCAAAGCTGCGGGCACCCTTCCTGAACTCCGCCGTCTCGCCAGCAGGGTTATCGAGTCCCCCGCGGAGCTACCTGCCTCAGCTTGCAGAGAATAGGATGGGCCTGGTCTCGCCCCCTCGCCTTCACCAGCCACGCAGGGGAAAGAGCTTCCTGCTTGCAGCTTGATAGAAGTCCTCACAGGTGCGGCAGCGCGCAAGATTGGCTCCGACGCCACCTATCTGCCCCACGTCCAACAGGCTTTCGGCATGAGGAGCATGCGCAGCTTCGCGGGCAGCATCCCCCTCGCCTACATCGCCCAGTCCATCTGGACCCTCAGCCGCCTCTGCTAAGCGGGCTACGAGACCCCCACCCAGTGCATTTGCGGCGCCCCGAAGGATGACCTTGCTCGGGGAATGCAGCGCGACAGCCCCGCTTCGAGAGGAGTACTTGGATTCCGCGGGCCTGGGCACTCTGAGACGCCCTGAGGCCTTTGCAGCATGCGCTGGTTTTCCTGGGCCCCCCCTTTTCAAGGCCCCTGGGCCCCCTGGCCTCGGTCTCGGTTCCTCGGAATTCTGGCCCGCAGGGGGCATGTCGCCCGAATCAGTCTTCCAGTGTGAGGTGTCTGTAGACGGCAGTGTAGCCAAGGATGCTCATCTTTGGTTCCACGCGCCTGGATGGGCCCTAAGCAAGTTAGGGCCCGATGGTTGGTTCTCTCGCGGCTTGCCTGCGCGGGCCCGCGGGGGGCGCCTCCCCCACCCGACCTCGCCGGCGGCCGGATTTGTAGCTTATCTAGCCGCCGGCAAATTCAGTGGCGCAGCCAGCATACGTGCAGAGTTTGAAGGATTTGTGGGTTTCCACAATGCGTCCCGTTTTGCCGGCAGGAAGAACACATGCGATGGTTTAGGCTCCCCCGCTTAGCGTGGCGAAGCCAGTCGTCATGGCGGGTTTAGAGTAGACGAAGTCAAAGCCCGCCAGCCTGTCAGCGAGCTCGAGCCCCTTTCTGAACGCCTGCGGCACGCCGCGGGCAGCTGAAGCTGACCGCGCGGCGAAGATAGCTGCGAATCGGCTCCCCCAGCCCTCGGAGCTTGAGCGCGCCGCGTCTGCTGAGCTTGCTGCTCGCAGGAAGCGTTGCCTGCAGCGCGCTCCCAAAGCTCCCCCTCCCCGTGACCCGCCGTGGCCCCCGGGGTGGGGGGCAGAGGGCTCGAGCCCCCGGTCCACGCCGCCAATCCTGCGGTCGGTGCGGCTGCTATCCCGGCATCGTGGCATGGTAGAGCCATCTGTAGCGTTAAGTCGGGCCTGCCCCCCTACAGGGGGATTGTCGACGAAGAATTAAGAATACCCCCAGAATAATCAGAAAATCATTCAAACATAGTCTGGGGTTTATTTTTTTGGTATTTTTTTACCTTTTCACCTTTTTGGTGCATTGTTGTGGTATTTTTTTATTTTTCGTCGAAAATCCCCCTGTAGGGTGACACGCCCGACATAACTGTAGCGGGGGCCCTCGTGGGCCTGGGGCCGTGGCGCCCCCCCCCCACACCGCGGGCCCCGAGGGCCATCCGTGCCGCCCGCGCTTGGCGTCGTCAGAAAGGCCGCTGGCTCTGCGTGGCCTGATGCTCGAGACGCATTAAATCGGTTCTTTTTTTTAGCCGGAGAGCACGAGCAGCGCCCGGGCAACGCAGCTGGCCTGGCCAATCTCGCACTCCAACCTAATGGTCACCAGATTTTTGCGCTGGACAAGATTGAAGATGAATCTTTCGCCATTGCTTGCAAGAAATGCGGGAACTACACCGAGTGCACGCGGGGGGGCCCTACCAGCGATGCCTCGACAAATTCAATATCATTTTCAGCCAAAGCGACTGGCAAGCCACGCGTGAAGTGAGGCACCCCAAGGGGCCCAAGAGGAGCCAAGTGGTTCTCCAGGCCCCCATCCTTATTTCAGCGTGCTGCCCCAGTGCGGCACCGCAAGAGCTCGAACCGCCATGACAGAGCGGAGTTGAGTCATCATCCAGTCTTGCTCTCGCGCACCGAAGTCCTGCGCCCGGCGGTGAGGTTTCTCACGGGAGAGTTTTCCAGTTTCCAGTCTCCTGGTTTCAGGATGCTCGGGTCGGAACTGGGCCCCCGCCGAGGGTCTCTGGCCACTGGCCTTGTGGGTCGAGGCGTGTCTTGCGGCCTCGCTCGAGGTCGGCTCACGGAGAGCTTTGCACCCTCTGTTTCTAGACTGGCCCACCCCATGGGCGAGGCCTGCCACCGCCCAGGCGTTCTCCTCACCAGGGGTCGGCGGTGCCTCGTCTTCCTGGTGTCGCCTCGTGACGGTCTCGTGCACGCGCGCGTGCGCGTGCGCGCTCTGTCTGCACGTGTGTCAGGCACCCCGCTTCAGGGGAAAGGTGCATCCTCCCGTGACAGGGCCCTTCATCGCCCTTTGCAGCGTCGGCAGCGTTCTGCCGTCTCTGCGGCCCATATGTTCGTCCTCGGTCGCAACGGAGAAGATTGGTGGCTCAGCGCCGCGAGGTTTCGGGTCAGGGTTGGGTCGGCCCACCCTCAGCCTCCCTCATCAGCCAAGTGATGGTTTTTTGTTCTCCCTGTCGGTTTCCTCGCCCTCTGCCGTGCCCTACTCCCCTCCCTTCCCGCCCTTCTCTCTTGCTTTTCCTTATCTTTTCCGCTTTCTCCTTGCCCCTCCCCTCCTCTACCCTCTTCCCCTCCCACCCTCCTCTCCACTCCCTCACTTCACTCCCCGCCATCCTCCTTCCCTCATTAGCCACGCCCCTCCTAGCTTCTCCCCTCTGCCTTCCTCTCCTCAGCGCCGCGCAGTTGCATGACCATAATCCTCCTCCCCCCGTTAACCAGGCATTATATGTCTTGATTTTCTGACAATATCAACCCTTTCCCCAGCGCGGGCTTTTCGTCCTGAGTCGTATTTGACGGTCCCGAGGTTCGGCGAGGGCCTTCAGAGGCCGCATTCGCGAAACACGTCCGCCCTGATTTTTCAAGACGCTGGAAATCCACAGTTCCGCGGATCGAACATCGATCCCCAGACCTTTCCCGAGGTGAGTTCTGACCAGAATTTCGAGGCGCATACGACCGCTGCAACGAGAAGCTCCCGTCAGGCCCAACATGCCTCTATCCGCGAGTTCGGTCTGCGACTCCTCGCGCCCGATATATCAGGGCCCGCCGAGCTAGTAGGTTCCGATTCGGACCGATCTCATGGTTCGGCGCCACAGGTCCCGCTCGTCTGCGTTGTGGTATATGCGGGTCCTTTCTCGGGCCCCCAGCAGTCCGCAAGGTTCAGCTGCTGGAGCGCACTCCGGGAAGAGAACATTTGCAAGAACCAGCGAATACAGCGGAAATCCGTGCCAAGAAACACCCTGGTTCAGAGTGCCGTGGGTTTCTTGGGTTTCGATGGTTTTGCCACGGGACGGCGTGGCGATCCCACACCAAAAATCAATGTACGCCCAGGGGTCTCAGGGTTGGGTTTCTTGTGGAAGGCAAGGCTGGACCTAAACGGTGTTTTGGCGATTTCGTGGGCCGTTTTCGTTTCGATTTCGCTTTGCGTTAAAGGCGGATTGAAGACAAAACGAGGGAAAACGAAAACAAAACAAAAACGAATAACACCGTTCAGGTTCAGCCTTGGTGGAAGGTTTCTTGTGGTCGAGCTCCTGCTGTGACTTGGGGCCTCCAGCGGTCGGCGAAGCGCAGCTGTTGGAGAGCATTCCCGAGGCGAGAACACTTGCAAGAAGCAGCGAGCACTTCCTCCACCCCCTGAGATCCTGGCGTCGCAATTTTTGTTCAAATCGGGCGTTTTCGCTAGATTTCGGGCCCCGGGACCCGCACACATCGATCGAGCTCGAAAATTGAGGTACGCAGATGGGGTCCAGGGCTCCGGTCGTGATTTTTTGCGATGTTGCAATTTGGTTGCGACGTCGGACCCCAGGGCCCCCCCTCCTCCTCCTCCTCCTCCTCTTCTTTTTCCTCCTCCTCCTCCTTGACGATAAAGCCTTCCTCTGCGTTCCCCCTAGGCGCGCCGCTAGTTGGTTCCGATCTGGCCCGATTTCCCGACTCGGCACCGACACACGCCCCTGGCTCAAAGCGGAGCGGCGGTGACGGACCGCGCGGTGACCTCGAAATCCGAAGAGACCTCACCGCACTGTCCGTCGTCAACACACGGTGCTAGGACCTCGGAGGCCCTATTTGCCAAGACGTCTTCGGAAAGCAATTCAAGCCCCCAAACCGTGCAACGCAAGAGGAGCCCAGTGGCAGGGAGCAGAGAAACGGCACGACACGACGACCAACGACGGATGGCACACGAACGACACATAGGCGCGGGGTCGGTCGGTCGGACGGAGGCTGGGACACTCGCTCGTGCTCCGTCCGGTTGGTTGAGGACTTATGCCTCTTGATGGGCCCGTGGGGCCACAGGCCCACAGGACAGAAAAACATACATCAAAGAGGGAGGGAGGGGGGACGGGGGAGGAAGAGGAGGAGGAGGAGGAGGAGGAGGAGGAGGAGGAGGAGGAGGAGGAGGAGGAGGAGGAGGAGGAGGTGGAAGAGGAGGAGGAAGAGGAGGAGGAAGAGGAGGAAAGAGGAGCAGGAGGGAGGGAGGGAGGCACGCCGGCCCGCGCCCGGCCCCGCGGGCCTCCGCCCCCGCCGGTGGCGGAGGCGCGAAGCCATGCGCCGCGCCCCGGCGCGGCTCCGCCGACTCTCCACGCACAGCCCGGCACCGCTCGGGCGTGTGCACTCTGCCTCGGCGAGGACTATCGAGGGGCATCCTGGATCATCTCGGGCCGGACGAAAGGGGGGGATTGGGAAAGGGGGGGTTATGAAATCTGCTGCGTGCAGCTGGTTTCGGCCTCACCGAGGGGCCCATTCCTCGACACATGGCCGCCTCCGGCGCCGGGAGGCGCCGGGAAAATCAGCTACGTGAGCTGATTCTCAAACCCCCCCTTTGCTATCCCCCCTTTTCGCCCGACCCGATCATCGGGCCAAGAGAAGAGCACGAAACCGAACAATTCACGGGGGGGGGGCGTCCAAGCGATGGCAAGGCAGAGTGGCCACCTCACCGCTTGAAGGCTCCCCGAGGAGTCGCAGGCTCCCCGCGCGCAAGCGCGCCGCCGGCGGCTGCTGGGGCCTCGGGCCACAGGCCCTGGCCCCTGCACCCGCTCCCACCATCGGCGCGCCGCCGACTCTCGATCTTCTCCTTGAGTGCCACGCCTCCCACATGAGCGACGCGAAACACACAGAGGGGGGTTAGTCGTCGTTGACATTGGTGCGTGAGCTGCTCGCGGAAGGTCGTGCGCAAGCGCCCTCGTTTCTCATGCAGCGTGCCGCGCTGGAGACCTGCGTAATTAACCGACAG